TTCCTTCCTTCCTTCCTTCCTTCCTTCCTTCCTTCCTTCCTTCCTTCTTGAGAGAGAAAGAGCGAGAGTGTGAGCAGCCGCAGAGGGAGAGTGAGAGAATCTCAAGCAGGCTTCACGCTCAGCGCAGAGCCTGATGTGGGGCTTGATCTCATGACCCTGAGACCATGACCTGAGTCAAAATTAACAATTGGACTCTTAACTAACTGAGCCATCCAGGTGCCACACATCTTGATAGTACCAGTGCTAAATTTACCAATTACCATGTTTGTGTTTGTACCATGATGTGACATAATGCTGCATGTATTTTATTAACTGTGCAAATTCATTTGGCACTCTCCAAGTAGATATTTAAGAGACCACATAATTTATCATCTAGCTATGGCCTAACACTTAAGTCCTAACCTGTCATTGTTCTTAGTTTCTTCACCCAAATAAGTAGATATCATTTACCTCACACAAAAAGATGGCCCATCAAATATATGGCACACTAAGTTTTGTAGAAATAAAAAAACTTAAAAAATAAGTTAATATTCTTATGTATTTTATGGGTCCTTATTTTGTGTATATATAAAACACACATGTAAATATATATAATATATATTATAACACAATATATAACAATATATAATAAAATATATAAAATATATATGAAATTAGTTTTTGGCTTATAAAATAATACATCACAAAAAATTTGGAAAATATGGAAAAGAAAGAAAAACCTCCTATAGAACCCTTACATGATGTCCACTGTTAAACATTTACACAGCTTCTTTAGTATTTTTCCATGCTTTCATTTTACAGAATTATAATCATTGGGTATATCTAATTCTGTATCCTGAATGTAAAACTTAAATTTTGAATCTTGCTTTATTTAAAAAAAAACTTAGGAGCATAAACTTTGTTTTTTTCAGATTCTACCTTATAGAAGCCCTCAAGATAGAAGATCCCTATGTGATAAAATACTATTTGTCTATTTTTGTCAGGTGTCAAGGAACCTTTGAGTAAAAGCTCTAAAATTCTGGCTACTCCTGTTTGGTCAGCATTAGAAAAGTTCAATCATTCCTTGGTGTATGCTGAGGAAATGCTTTTCCTGGGCATATTGAATCAAACTCCTGAAAAACCTATGGGATTCTCTCCCCAGAACACTTACAAAGGCGAAGTTTCTCCCTCCCCCACTCTCTTACGCACTCTGTCAGTTCTGCTGCCAACTCCTGCATAATATAGTCAAATTATGTGTTAGAAATTCAACCCTGGTTTCCTGGGTGATGGTACAATGCCACTACTTAGTATTCCTAGTCACATAGCTACAATTCCATCATGCTCTTAATCTATATATATCTTCATGTTCAGAGAAGCAGACTTTTCAAATCAGGCATGTATTAAGAGTTTAAATGCACAGAATGAGAAAACATAGGAGCTTCTTAAGCTCAGCCATGATGCAGGACATTTTTTTACCAAGATTTTGAGAAACCACCATATGGACTAATGCGTTTTGGATTCAGGGATTTCTATAGGATATCTTTTCCAGTTCAATTCTGCAAACAGAATTCTTTATATTCTCTTGTAGACTATTGGATGCCTAAACTTAAAATTTGGACCATTTTTTAAAAGCCTGTGTTTTCAAAATGAGATTAGTTTTTCTCTGGAGTTGCACAACCAGGGTGCACCCTTAAATTTTGGTAACGTTATTGAGGTTCTTTATTTCTGAAGTGGCTTCCAATGATCTACACAAAACAAATGTCATGAATTGCAGCATTTCTTCTTCAAAATGGCCAGGTTTGTGTGATTTAGACCAGGGAATTCTAGCTCTTTCTAATTAAAATTTTCTGTGATAAATATTTGCCTATGTGCTTATACATATAAGAGATTTAAACTGATGGTAAAATTGAAATTAGGTTTTTCTGGTGATGTCTATTTTCTGTATTGGTTTGTTTTTCTTTTTCTTTTTTTGACCGTAATATCAGACTTGTGTTCCTTAAATTCTAAATCCGCCATGTTTTAACTGTTACCTTGGTCCAGTTATTTTTCTGAGCATTTGTTCCCTCATTAGGAAAAAAAAATGAAAATAATCTCAGAGACTGTTATGGGGATTAAATGAAATATTGTAGGAGAAAGTATAAAGCCTTTCACAAATATGTATTATTTTTATATCCTTAATGATAATGGATTATTTGGGAGCCTAAGTGTTACCCTCTATTCTTTTCTCTCCTCCTGAGTAGTTTTGCACTGATTTCTTGGATTTTTGAATTTTGTGAACCTCTTTTCTCACATATCAGATTGAATTGACTTGGGAAATTGTGATATTTACTTATACATGTACATTGCATACATTCAAATGTTAGTTTGGAGAATACAAAGAAGCCATGTATTTGTATTCAACTAAGGATACTGAGCTCTTTTTTGTGTTTGTGTCTCTTTTTTTTTCCTCCCATAGGTCTTAAAAATTGTCAGCAAAACTGTGCTGAACAACAGACATCCTAAGAGGGGGTATTTTTCACCTCTACAATGAAGAAAAGCAGGAGTGTTATGGCAGTGGCGGCTGATGATGTAAGTTCCAAAAATCAGAGTTGCTCGATTCTACCCGCTTTTTGTCTGCTCAATGAAGAAGTTGCTCCATAATTTTATCCAAAGAGTGGGCAAGGTTGTTTAACATCATCACTTTATCACTAGTTGTTTCTGTGAACCAGGCATTGCCAGCATCTGGACCCAGAATTCTGCAAGGTGGACAGCAGGAACACTGCTCTCTCTGCAGCTTAGAGATGGGCTCAGGTTGAGGTTTAAGGTCTCATTCACAAAACCCCCATTTCTGATGGATGCCCACCTTCTAGCTCTTAGAAACTCCTCTTTCTACATTGCCTGCCTTATCAGTTCCGTGATGACTTTCTTCCCTGTCTTTACCCATATACAGCTAATCCTTGAGAGTCACCTCGTATGGTGGGGTTTTTGACAACTGCTTGTATGAAGCTTGTGATGTACACATCCTATAGGTCTTGGCTACTCAAGTGTGATCCTCAGAGTAGCAGCATTAGCATTGCCTAGAAAATGCAAAATCTTAGGCTACATCTTAGACCAAAAAACCAGACTGTATTTTAACAAGATCCCATGGTGGCTAGATATATGCATTCTTTTAGAAGCCCTGTGCCAGGTCATCTGAAGAAGTCTGTAAACTCACCATCTCATAACTCTGCATCTTGGGCAGCTGAGATTAATTATCTCCTTTGCTTTCAATTGACCAGTCCCCCATTAGTGTGTCTTTAATTGTCCAGTTTTTACTCAGTTTCTGTTTGTAATTGAGCTAGAAATCATATGCCATCAATCTGATGTGCAGAAGGAAGGGAGGGAGGAAGGAAAAAGTAGTAATTTTCCTTGCTTTCTGTAATAACTCATCTTATTGTTAAGCTCCTGGTTCAACAGATGGGGAGGGGCTGGGAGGAACTTGAACTTGCCAGTTTACGTAAAATTCTGTCTTTTGGGTAAATGCTCTATCTTTCAGGATTTCTCCCAGTTCTTACTCCTTCCCTTTAATCACATGGCATTGGGCAAAGGGACTTAACATTAATTAACATTATAGTAATAGATGTGTGGTATTGTCCTTATCTTGTATTGTCCCCTTTCCACTAGCATCTACTGTCGTTCAGTGGAGGAACCTCTTTCTTTCTTTCTTTCTTTCTTTCTTTCTTTCTTTCTTTCTTTCTTTCTTTCTTTCTTTCTTCCTTTCTTCCTTTCTTCCTTTCTTCCTTTCTTCCTTTCTTCCTTTCTTCCTTTCTTCCTTTCTTCCTTTCTTCCTTCCTTCCTTCCTTCCTTCCTTCCTTCCTTCCTTCCTTCCTTCCTTCCTTTCTTTGAGAGAGCATTTCTGGTAAAAGGAACGACATATGCAAAGGCTTTTACCACATGTAAGACACTATGTTTAGCTTTGTCAGAATAAGCAAATAAATAACTGTGACGACTGTGTTTGCATACAGTTATTTGCAGTACACAAATACCTTTAATAGGAGACTTAATATGATGAGTGACATAGGAACAGTATACATTAAGTACTTTGCATTTGGGAACTAAGTCCCAGAAGTGAGGGGCAAATTCAGTGCTATTCAGGTACTGAACACAAGCAATTAATTATGACTCTAGGGATTACAGAATAACTTACAGAGGTGGGAATTGCTGGTTTGGGGAGGAGTTGAAAGGGGAAAATGGCTAAAGAGAGTAGGAAAGAAGAACCAGGGAATATGTGTGTGGGTGACACACACACACACACACACACACACACACACACACACACACAGAAAGAGGGAGGGGTTGATTTTATACATAAAATACATTATTTACCCCTGGGCAACTTCTCATAATTGATGGTGATTGCCTATGATAAAACTGTGTTTTTCAAAGACAACATTACTTTTGTTATTGTCTCATGGAGCATCGTGACATTTAGTCTTCACGGAGTCCCTACGTGTCACTTGATGCTTCCCATAATTTCAATTTCCAGTTTTATAAGATTTGAAAAGCTCTGGCCTATGGTCCAGATTGAATTGTACCCAAGCACACTAGAAGTCCTTGGAAATATCCAATCTCATTTCCTCACCAGGAGTTTAATCAGAATTCAAAAATTGGAGCAAGCTCCAAAAATGACTGGGACAGACTTAACAAAGGGAAAATAAAGCAAGAGCAACACCAACAAAGTCGTAACTACTCAGCCCCTGATATGCCTCAACTGTGCATTTCAGTGGTCCTAACTGAGTCAGTTTTGATATGGGGCTAGGACTGAGTCCCTTTGGCATCCCCTTCCCTTCTTCCCTTCAGACTTTTCCCATTTAGATGCAGGGTTTCACACCAGCTTCTCCTTTGTGATAACCTTTTGGAATTATATTGGCAAAAATATCAATTTTTAAACAAACAGTTATCCAGGAGCATGAGGATAATCCCAAATTGGGTTATATCCCTTGGGATTATAGAGATATAGGGTGAATTTGAGGCAGTATGATACATTTTAAAATTTGTGAATTCCAGAAGTAACATTCAAATTAATGTTCCTTTCCCCCAAATCTTTGATCTGGTGAGTGGTGTAGTCAGCCAGAATCATGCTAGTTAAAATAGGAATATAAGTCTAAGATCTCAAATTCGGTAATTGAGAATTGACTGAATTAGGTTGTTCCCTTGAGGATGTTAGCAATTTTGGGGGTGGGGAGTGGTGTATAGGTTATGAGTATGAATGAGAGAGTTTGAGGTAATTATGACTAACTCTAGATGGGCTAATGAGTGTTTGTAAAACAATATTAATGTTCCCAGTGTTTAACTTAATTTCTAAAAAGCCACTCCATTATGTTCTTTTGTGGCAATTCATTTTCATGGAGTCTTTTAAAATGAATTCCTTTAATTCAAAGAATGACTTCAAATTTGTAAATTCAAACCTCTTGGCAAGTCAGTGTGGGAGATATTTTTTGGCAGATGTGACTTTGTTACTTTTCAAATAGCAAATACCAAATAAGCACCCATTTAGTTCATTTACTACAATTAAACCTAGTTGATAATACTTCCTTTTTCTAAAAGAGAAAAATATCCAAAAACCTTATTAAGGAGACTATAGTGGTTGGTGGTTTAACTAAATGATATCCTTATTTCTGTTCTTTGGTACAAAGTCTCTTGCATAGCTCAGGTGAAATATATACTCATGACTTGCTTTCCAGATAACCAGTACTTTCTTTACATGAATATTTGGAAGTAGTCTGACTTACAGTCATGAGTTCTGGCTCTTAGTTTGTTTTTGAATCTCTTCAAGAATACTTTGTGTATTCTGTTTCATTAACTTGTCTTTATGTCTTTTGACAAAAAACTTATATATACAAGCTTTCCCCTCAGCTTCTTATTTGTAACACACACACACACACACACACACACACACTGACTACACTAAGTGCTAGACTTACAATGGATTTAAAATATGGAAAACTACAGATGGTTTTGTCTTCTTGTTATTGAATTGTGGTCTTACTAAATTTCAAATAAATGGTATTCTTGTCAAGGACAAGAAAATGTGATGATATCCCATTTCAGGTAGGAAAAGTGGGGCCCCTGAAAATTGTCAGGCCTATTCATGCCCAAATTTCCTTCATCAAAATGTGGTCTTGTGTCAGATAAGCATAAATCACTAGAATATAGGTTTTTGTGAGCATAGATACTGTGCTTCCTTTTGCTGTTGTATCCTTCTTGAGTAGCACAGTGCAAAACTGTAATAGGTGTGCAACAAATATTTGTTGCATGAACCCAGCTAACACCCTGAAACTTGAGTTAATTCTTCTTGTATGAACTAAGATAGGGATGGGTGGAGTGGGAGATAGAGAACTTTTGTTTGTTTAAACCTTTGGAGGTCTATTCCTAGGTTCTCCTAAGTCTTTTCTGAAAGACTTGCAGGAAGGACCTGTCTTTTTAGGGCCACAGAATGAATTTCAGGTGAGACTCCTTGGCCTGGTGATAGGACTTCCATTATTCTGTGTTAAGATAAGAGGAGAGGGGCGCCTGGGTGGCTCAGTCATTAAACGTCTGCCTTCGGCTCAGGTCATGATCCCAGGCTCCTGGGATCCAGCCCCGCATCCGGCTCCCTGCTCAGTGGGAAGCCTGCTTCTCCCTCTCCCACTTCCCCTGCTTGTGTTCCCTCTCTCGCTGTGTCTCTCTCTGTCAAATAAATAAATAAAATCTTTAAAAAAAAAGATAAGAGGAGAGAGTGGTAGTTCTATCTTTTGAACTCCGCATTGCTCTCCATGGGTATTTGCTGTGTTATGACATTTTCTGTCTTTGAGCCTGTATGAATGGTACATAAGCAGTGGCTCCTTTGGGGCTCTCACTCGCAACAGTACCAGGAACCACAGTCACTAAGAGATCTAGGAAAAATGAATAACTCTTATCAGTGGTTATAGTACAATGTCTTTATCTTCTCACAACTATTTCATTCATGTTAGCATTAGGGGATGCACTGAACACATAAAGTTCTGTTCAGGGCTGGATAAAGTATGCTCTTCTTATTCTGAACTCTTACATAATTTTACCAAAAAAAAAAAAAAAAAAGAGAGAGAGAGAGAGAGAAAGAAAGAAAGAAAAAGAAACTTAAACTCTGAGAAGATCCTTTATGGGAACAGAGATAGTCAGTTATCCATAATTATCAACATCTTTCTGTCCTAAGAAAGTATTTTTACTTTAAAACACTAAACAAGAAAGTATATGCCTTAGCTAATGTAGTTTTCCCCCATGTTGCAGAATGATAACATTGATTTCCAAAATATATGTTCAATTGTAAGCTTTCATTTTAGCAATTTAAAAAAAAAAACAGAAAAAGAAGGGGAATAAAAGAAAGAAAAATTTACGAAAGAGAAAGAAGACAGGAAGCCCTCTAACCCACATGCTATAACTGGTAACCTGTAACGGGGACCCTAAAAATCACCAAGAATTCCAAACGTTGAGAATTAGCCACTGCGCCCACTTATTTGTTTTCTCTCAAGGTTTTGCCGTCAATATTAGATTCTGATTGTGAGATCATGAGTCAGGACTTTATGACGGATGACTTGATCATTTGGATTCTTATTTCACTCTACTGTACATCATTTTAAACATTTGAATCTCATTCTCCTTTTCTTCTCTTTTCTTTCCTTGTGGTTCCTCCAGAATGTTAAAGATTATTTGGAATGTAGCTTAAGTAAATCCTACAGTTCTTCTAGTAACACACTTGGGATTGACCTCTGGAGAGGGAGAAGGTGTTGCTCAGGAAACTTACAGTTACCACCACTGTCCCAAAGACAGAGTGAGAGAGCAAGGACTCCTGAGGGAGATGGCATTTCCAGACCAACCACACTGCCCTTGAGGACACTTCCCAGCATCGCTATCACAACTGTAAGCCAGGAGTGGTGAGTAGTTTTACGATTAAATGTCAGTTCTAAGTTTTACTTTCTGATTATTCCAACATAGTTTCATGTTTCTAAAATGTTTGTTATTTGTGGAATAACTAAGGCTATTGACATTTTGAGAATTTGTTTTCCTCTGGGTAGCAACTGGAGGCCTTTTACACAGTAGAGATATTTTCAGCCTGTTAAGATTGGAAGGAGCCTATTGAGGGAGGAATGAGATACATTTTTGTTAATGTCAAGGGAAAACAAAATTACTGCCTATGATCTTTTTTTTTTTTAAGTTAACTATTCAGTGTGCCTCAATATGTTTCCATTTAGAAAAGCACAATCCTATGAGAGTACCTAAAGGAATTATACATGTATATATGACAGGAGTTGTTCTTATTGCTCTGCTCTACATATAATTATTCCTAGCTTCTTCTTATTACAATACCACTTTACTAATCTCAGTCTATGATTATGTATGAGATAAAACACTTCATTATAAGTCAGAAAAGGAATGAAAATTATACTGTGAGGGATGGTTGGACTGTTTTGCAGGGTCTATACTTGTAAAAAGAGGCTATTTTAATCTAGGGTTGAGAAGTTAATCAAGTACCTATAATCTTATAACTGTGGTTAAAATTGTGCCGTGATGCTGCTTCAAATGTGTGTTTTATCATATATTTAATAATCAGCATTTTCTTTTTCTCTTTTTTTTCTCTACGTAATTTTCAAATATTTTCCACGAACGGCCTGCTTACATAACATGGAGTTTTATCATTAAAATGAAAAATATTCTCTCTCTATATATATAATTTTAAATTATAAAAATATGGTATACTTTTTGTTTAAATCATTTATGAAGGAGAAGGACTAAACATAGTCAGTCCTTAAAATCTGGTTTTTATGGTATGCCATATCCACTTGGTACATGCTGAGCTCTGCAGTGCTAATGAGTAGCCCAATATATACCCATTGAATAATGCAGGGCACTTCTTAGTTGGCGGTTATCAAATCCACTCAGAATTAGATCACTGAGACTCTGGCTATTCTAGTTATTGACATGAAATGGTTCATCAGACAGTCTGAGTGTGATACAGAAGCATGGTAACACATTGTAGGGAGAATGGGTTAAAAACTTGAGAAGCACTGACTTACCATCTTCGGTTGAGCTGAATTAACATCAGAATAGTCATAGCCAATCACGGAGAACTAAAATGGGCACATCACTCCCAGATCACTTACTCAATTGCATAGCTTCTGTAATTAGTCTTGGTTATGCTTCTGCAGAATTGCAGATTTGGAATTGTAAAGAATTCCACAGATTTATTTTTCAGCAAGTTGGCACTGGTACAGTTGTACCAGTTGTTACAATATTGAAATGCTTTCATACCAGTTGGTGAATGTATGTTTTCCTGAGTTCTCTGATTGCCCCTTGTACCATCCCAGACGTAAATTGCTCACAATCCAGCAACTAAAGAGGTGATGACTGGCACAGCGGGGGTCTGGTTTTGGCAGGTGTTGATGATATACTTTTTAGAATAACAATCTGGATAAAATGTACCTTGCAAATTTTGAGTTTATTTAACTCAAGGATACCTTGAGAGTTGTGGAATTGTCCTTCCCAGAGAAGTATCAAATCCCGACGGACATTTGGGACATGCTTGTCTATCTCTCTCAGTTGAGGGTATTAATCTGTACAGAGACAGTAATAACACTCACCTCATAGGCTATTGTGAGGGTTAAATATGGTAATCTCTATAAGGTACCTATTTTAGTAAAAAGCACATGTTAGGTTATCAACAAATGTTAGTTTCTCTCCTCTTGAACATTATCCAGTAAAGCCTTTTGAAAACTAGAAACCATGTCTCAAGTATCAGTGCCCTCATGCTGGGTGTTCATAGTTCAGATTGAAATGGAGGATTTAGCCATTATCCAGAGAGTTTATGTTGTGCCATTGGTAATACTACACGTTAGTAATTCATTCATAGCATGTCTTTTATTTCAATTACCTGCATACTTTTTTAATATAGGAGAGAGCTAAATTTATTTTTAAATATAAGTAACTAAAAGCATTTCTATATATTCCTTAAAAACGTTGTCACCAGAGTATTGATAGTTGCCGACTGATAGAATCTCTGGCTGAGGAATCTGACTGAAAGACATTTGATTAGAAGTGAGGAAGTAGAGCTTCAACTATCATTATTGCCATCAACTTGATGCAAGTTCACAGATGTAAAGGATACAGCCTATGACCATATGTGAGAAAGAATTATACTGACCACTTAGCGTACTGAGAATATGGAATCAACCTCCACGTCTAAACTGGGGGTGAGCAAACTTACTGTGAAAGGCCAGATAGTGAATATGTTTGGTTTTGTGGGCTTTGCAGTCTCTGTCCTGACTATTCAACCCTGCTGTGGTAGTGTGAAAGTCACTGTAGCTAATGCATAATAAATAAATGTAGCTGTGTCCCGGTAACCCTTTATTTACCCATACAGGTAGTGGGCTAGATTTGGCCTGCCAGTCAGTTTGGTGACTCCTGATCTAGACTGAAAAAGATCTCCTCTGAGACATGACTCTTGCTCTGATAATTGTTTTGACAGTTACAACTGGGTGAAACTGATCTTGAGTTCCTGGTTAGTATGGTAAATGAGCCATAGGTATAGGGCTGTGTGCTAGAGATAAAATTTTTTAAAGCTAATGAAGGACTTTGAGTGAGTGCAAATGAAAGGTGGTACCCAGTGTATATAAGGTTAAATAGAAAACCGCTAATATAAACTTAGTCCTTTTTTGGGGAGAGCACATGGATGACAGTTTCATCATCCCACAGAAACCCAAATGAACAAACAATGGAGAGATAGTACCTACTTTTCAGAGTTGTGATGAAAATTAAAGGTAATGTGTGTGATACGTAGAACATAGTAACCAGCACTTAGTGGTTGTTTTGATGTTGTTGCCGTTTTTATTGTTGATGTTATTGTTATATATAGACCGAGTAGCCAGAATTATGCATTATCTATTGTTGGGGATTCTGGGGGAACTTCACCCCCTGAGTTATTGGAACCAACTTGGAAATATGATGAAAAAAGAAGTCAGATATGAAAACAAGGTGTTACATCAATTACTGATAAAATTGATGTTGGAATATATAATCTATGTCTGTGGGCAAGAAGGCTTCTTACACTGAACACCAGAATTATACAGACTTACCACCCAGTAGCAGGAGATGCTGGGCCTGGGCAGCCTCCCCTTCAGAGGGAGAACCTAGCCCTGTAAAATGTGTAGCAGGGAAGAGCTGTAGAAAGTCTGCTCATCTGAGCAAGTACGGGGGAAGGACTGAGTTGTGCATACCCACCTTTTCCTTCTGGAAACACCAACACAGATTAAATTATGCCTTCTCCCTGAGGAAGCCTGAGTAAGGATCTAGAAGGAGGCTGGGACTATTAAACTGGTGGCATTCCTAACACTTGGAAGGCACATCAAAGAATGGGAAAAACATATTCTTTGCCATTCCCCCGATTGTTTTCATCTTCCTCTTAAGTCTGGGGTCACCCCCAGGGATGTGGCTGTTCTTTAGAGGGACAGAGCAGGAGAATATCATTAGGACAGTGTGACTGCCATCTTTGTGAGCTTGTTTCTCCAATATCAGTCACTGCTTGAGTATGTAAAGATAATAAATCTGAAACCGAAGTTTCTTGCCCTTGTAAATTAAAGCTCAAGGAAGTTAAGGCCTCAAATTTATTCACCTCACCTTCTTAATTTTCTCATTTTATTAGAGGGTCCTTCCGCCTTTTGTAGGGTGAGGGCTTCCTAAACAGCATGAGCCTAAGTCATCTTCCACTGTAAGGCTCCAGTTTTCTTTGGTCCCATATAAGTTGAATTAGTCCAGTACCACATCTATGGTGTCTTCGCATTTTAAATAGTTAAAGGAGTTTATTGATTACCACATTTATCAAAGCAGTGTCACTACAGCCAGATTTAGGAAATAAGCCAATACTCAGCCTTGAAAGTCTACAGTTAACTTTATATTTTTATATCTTATAATTTTAATCTTCCTCTGTGGGGATCTTAGAATACTTTACTTCCTTCTAGCCAGCCTTCCCTGTTTACAGTTTGTTTTTATCTATTTTAATTATCTTTTTTTTTTTACTGCACAGTACACTAGCATTATTTTTGCATTTAGTCTTTGATTTATATTTAGATGTTTACCAATATCTTTGCTTTTAGTTCCTTCTTGTATCTCAGACCCCCTGGGATCACTTGCTTTTTTGTTTGGGTCAGTCCTATGGAATTTATGCTTATTTTTTTATTTGGCTGAAAATGTCATTTGCTTTCATTCTTGAAAGCATTTTTTCCCATTGTGTAACAGTTACTTTATTTCAACACTTTGTAACTATTTTCCCTCGTCTTTTGGCTTCCATTGCTATTGGGAAATTGGCTGTAAATCTAATTGCTTTTCACTGTAAGTAATCTGCCCTTTTTTGTTTATTTGTTTCTGAATTTCTGAAGTCCAACTTTGATGTGTCTATGGGTGGGTTTCCTTTTATTTATCCTGTATGGAATTTACTGGACTTCTTGAATATATAAATTGGTGTCTTTCTTATGATATTTGGAATATACTTTTTCATTTTCTCTTCACATATTTCCTGTGCCAACCTCTCTCTCCTCTGCTTTTGACTTCTGATTAAATCTACTTTGGACCTACTTCTTTATTTTCCATTTTTGACAATCTCTTCCATTTTTAAAAAAAATCATTTTGTCTTTCTGTGCTGTATTTTTGTTAATTGCTTTGATTTGCCTTCCAGTTTGCTAATTCTCTTTTCAACTATGTCTAATTTTCTGTTAAACCTGTTATATTTTTTCAATTTTTGTTACTGTATTATTTATTTTTAGAGTTTGTATTTATTCACTTTTTAAATATGTTAAATAATTTTATGTAGTTTTCTATTCTGTGTATGTGTTAATTATCTATTGCTGCATAATCAATAACCTCCAAAACTTAGTGGCTTAAAGTA